CTGTCCTGGAACTCATTCCATAGACCAGGCTGGCTTCTAACTCACAGAGATCCACCATTAGTTTTCCTCAGTGGTTTTATTTTTTTTATGCAAGACCATGAACTTTTCACAGTTCCAGAGTTCAACCCCTCCCCTTGTATGTGCTGGACCTGTGCTTGCTTCTCTAGAGGTATATGTCAGAAATGCCTCTGTGGGACAAAGTCCCAACCAGGACAGCCCACGCAGCTTCCCCTGCCCTCCTGGAATACTTGCTTTTGAAGCTCTGAAGGAACATGGAAGAAGCCAGACTCCCTGGAGATGGCCATGATGTAAGGAAGCAGTCAGGCATGGCAACTTGCCAACTACTGTCGGGAACTTTCTCTCCCCATGCACAGACTCATGTCCCAGCAGGCCAGCTCTGAGGCATACTCAGGAAATCTGCTCCTCTAGTTCAGGAGATCTGAGAGTAAAGTCTAGGAAAGAGTTTAAGGAAAAGTAGGTTATGCTTTCTGGAGAATGTTCTAGGGTGGCATGAGTGGTGGTGGTGGCAAAAGCTACAACCCCACTCACTCACCAAAGACATCCTTGTATCTACTGAGCTGAGCACCTACTCTGTGTCAGGCACACACCCATGTACTGTATTTGTTTATAACGGTTACCCAGCAACCTCTTAGAGCCGAGTATCACCCCCAGTTCCATGTGAAGAGCCTGAGGCACAGAGTTGTTCATTCATTGCCTCAAATCACACAGTTATGTAGGGTTTCAAACTCAGAATGTTGCCCTCTGTCTAGAATCTTCTGATACTGGGGTTCCTGAACAAGAAAAATAGAATACAGGTCAGCTTTGGAGTGAGTAAAACTATTTTGGGTGTGGGTGCCTGAGGCTTGGTCCCTATTGCTATAAAAATGAAAAGAAGAAACCTAACAAGCAAAGCTTGGTTCCTTCAGAGAGAACTTGCTGTGCTCTCTATGGCACAGGATAGCCACCTCAGCTGAGGCAGGAGGATTGCATTGAGTTCAAAGCCAGCCTGGGCTACATAGTGAGTTCAAGACCAGCATAAGCTACAGAGAAGACCCTGTCTCAAAAACAGAAAAAAGAAATAAAGTAATAAGATGCATCCTGGAAGCAGAGTGTGGTGGATGAATGAGAATGTCCCTCCTATAGGCTTATATATTCAAATGCCTAGTCCTCAGTTGATGAGCTGGTCAGGAGGATTAGGAGGTGTGGCCTTATTGGAGGAGATGTGTCACTGGGAGTGAGCTTTGAGGTTTTAAAAACCCACATAAGGCCCAGTGTCTCTCTCTGCCTGCTGCCTGTGGATCCGGATGTAAAGCTCTCAGCCACTGCTCCAGTGCCATGCCTGTGTGCTTCCCGCCATGATGATCTGGACTCACCTCAACAAACCCCCAATTAATTTTTTTCTTTTAGCCAGGCGTTGGTGGCGCACACCTTTAATCCCAGCACTTGGGAGGCAGAGGCAGGTGGATCTCTGTAAGTTTAAGGCATCCTGTTCTAGAGAGTGAATTCCAGGACAGCCAGGTCTACACAGAGAAACCTGATGGGGATGTCCTTCTGTATATCTGTTTCTCTTATTGGTTGATGAATACTGATTGGCCAGTAGCCAGGCAGGAAGGATAGGTGGGGCTATGAGTGAGGAGAGAGAGGGAAGCTGCAGGAGATGCCATATAGAGCCCGGGAAGATAGGACACACCAGGCATTCTCTGGTAAGATAAGGCCATGTAGAAACACATACATTAGTAGTGTAGGGATAATAATTAAGAGAGATCTAGCCAGTAAGTAGTCCTATCCATTGGCTAACAGTTATAAATTAATATAAGTCTTTGTGTATTTATTTGGGGCTAATTGGCTGCAGGACCAGGCTGGAAAGAAACTCCAGCTACAAAAACCCTGTCTCAAAAGACCAAAATAAAGAAATGAAGTAATAATAATAAATTAATAAATAAACCAACTATAAGGGAAGAAATGAAAAATATTTTCATCCACAGACATTATTATACCTAGAAATTAACCTAAGGAATACACAAGGCACTAGAACGATTATGTGGGTTTTGCTAGATTTTAAGATAAATGGTAGGAGCCAGGTGTTGGTGGGGCACGCCTTTGATCCCAGCACTCGAGAGGCAGAGGCAGGTGGATCTCTGTAAGTTCGCGGCCAGCCTGGTCTACAGAGTGAGTTCTAGGACAACCTCCAAAGCAATACAGAAAAACCCTGTCTCGAAAAACCAAGATACAAGGTAAGGGTTCTGGAGAGATGGCTCATTGGTAAAGAGTACTAGCTGCTCTTCCAGAGGTCCTGAGTTCAATTCCTAGCAACACATGGTGGCTCACAACCATCTATAATGAGATCTGGTCCTCTCTTCTGGCCTGTAGACATAATGCAGGTAGAACACTGTATACATAATAAATAAAATCTTTAAAAAAGATATTACTGGACATACGTGGTAGGGCTGTCATTTAGTGATTGAGTGCTTGCTCTGTCATATGCAGGTCTTGGATTCCAATGATGTCAGTCATGTCTGCAACCTTCTCTGCCCTCCAACAGATGCGTCCCAATAGGCCAGTTTCAAGGAAGACCCCAGGTTATTGTTCCCCATTCAAGAGATCTGAAGTTAGGGAGTACCAGAAGGGTTTGGAGGGAGAAGGGTCAGTGATGCTCTCTGGAGCAGGGAGGGAAATGGAGAGGTCATGGGACGGACAGGACTGTACCACAAAAACAAGAGGTCAAAATCAATATAAAGTCAAAGTACATTGTGTCCTTGTGGGATGTGAATAAAGCCCTTTGGACTGAATCCACAAGTTGACCAGGATCCTGTAACCTGACCGCCAGGATTGTGACCCTTGAGGTCAGACACCCAAGCTGAAATCCTGCTTTGCTTAATGATACAGGCACCAGTTCACTATGTCCGTATTTTACAAGCATATCAAATAAAAGGGCACTTGGAAGAGGGAGAGGAAACTCGGCTCATCAGCGTGTGGGGAACACTCTCAGAATGCACAAGTTCAAGTGCCTAACCATGGGACTAGTTCACAGAAATTGCCTCAAAATTTGCATGCCTTTGGGGGGGGGGCTGTGCTCGTGGGAAAAGGGACTAGAAGTTTCTGCTGCAGGTGTAAAGGGTAAAGCATTTCTGTGCAGGCCTCCACCTGGTGTTCAAACTCCTCGGGATCACAGTCCATATCTGTTTATCTTTGCATCCCAGTGGTATAGGCAGTTTTCACACCTCTGCAAAAGTAGTCTAGCCTGTGCACACGCCTGAGACACCTGGCTGCAATTGCAGTGCACTGTCACCAGGTGGGTTCTGGAGCCCAACAGGGAAGGAAATAGCTTTTTGTTGAAAGACCCTAGTGATTTCTTGGAAGTTTGGCTCTAACAACTTCCTGCTCCTTGGCCTTCATTAAGGTATGTTAGAGCTGTCAATTTGACGTGATCCAGAGTCACCTGGGAGAAAGGCATCTGAGCATGTCTGTAGGGAAGGACCACACCTACTGTGGGTGGCCCTATCCCTGACAGGATCCTAGATGGAGAAAAGGGACCAAGCAGTATGCCTTCATTCATTGCTGTCTTCTGACCATGGGTGTCATGTGACCAACTACTTGAGGCTCCTGCTGCTTTAACTGCCTGCCTTTATGTTCTATACCTTCTATCATGAGCCAAAATAAACCTTCTTCCTTAAGTTACTTTTGCTAATGCTGTCACAGTACAGGAAAGAATCTAAGACATTGAGCCTGAAAATGGGTGTGGTAAATTTCTTGGTGGTCCTTGTGACCCACCCTCACTGCCACCTTAAACACCTCCAAGTTGGTCATGAGAACAAAAACTTCTAAGTATAGGTGGGTAAACTATACCTCAGGGAACCTGTGCTGCTGAGAATTCTGTCCTGCTCCTTCAGGGTTCCACATGCTTTGCACTGTGACTTCTCTTAGGGACCAGGGCTTTTCATTACAGAGGGTACAGCCATGAATTTTAACAGCAGTCCGTGGAACAGCCCCTCCAGCCATTTCCATTCTTTTCCCACTTTCTGAGTTTCCAAATGTCTCAGACAGAGGCATGCACCCGTTCAGGGGCCAAACAATACATGTTCCAAGTAATTTTTATTTTAGAATACAAGAGAAGTACAAATGTATTTACAGTTGTACATATACAATCAAATAATATATATCACAGTTTCGTAAATATCATCTTAGATAAACATTTACAAAGTTAAAGTGACCGTCTTCTGGGAGTAGAACACACTTTCTTGAAAACTCTATACATTTTATACTTTTGTTAATATTATTATAGTTTTGTGTTTTAATTTTACAAACGCCCTGGTGTGTGGAGGGAGTCTTGTGTTATGGGGATTCTGGTAAATGACAACTAGATTTGATATGACACCAGAGGGCGCCCATGGTCAGAGCAGGGGAAGGCGTGGGCAGGGCCTCCGTGGCAGTGTGGGGACGTGGGGACGAACCTGCCACCCCCGCCCCGCGAACGCCTCAGGGGGCTTTCTGCACAGAGAAGCCAGCTCCGGCTCCATACTGCCCTGTGTGGTCCATCATTGTCTTGTTTGGGTGCTTAGTACGGTGGAGGTGAGGGTGCCTCTCCATTCCTAGGAGGTGGGCACTGGTCTAACTCCCGTGTTCTACATATGGGGAAACTGAGCTCCAAAAGGAACAGGGTCTTGCCCAGGGGCTATGGTGAATGTTCTTTGTCTCCACTCTAAACTTGCCCAGCACACTTCGGAGAGCATTGGCGCCTCTTTCTTCCCTGGGAGCCTGGTGCTGGGGAAAGTAGCCTGAAGGAAAGCAGGGACCAGGACGATCAGGTCTCTCCAGGTCTGTGCTAACCTAAGCCCTTTCGGTCCCCAATCGCTCGCTGTCAAATTGTCACCGTCGTTTTCTCCACTCGCAACACATCAAGACACCACACCAAGGAGGCAGAGATGGGCATTGCCAGCCTCGGGGTCCACCCTGTACCAAAAAGGTGGCTCTCCCTTCCACTCCCAAGTACTAAGCTCTCTTTAGAGATGGTCTGTCCCTCTCCTGTCATCCCAGAGAGATGTTCGCGTGGGGGAGCGGCCCTGCAGGAGGGAGACTCCGGGAAGGAGCTGGGGGCGTGGGGACCAGCTCCCAAGTAGAGGCCACAGGGCAGCCACACCAGCCGGGTAGCCTGGGTAAAGAGGACGTCGCTCCTTGGCATCTTCCTCTGCGAGAAGGATCAGAAGTGGGTTCCGGGTAGTT